TTGATAGAGTTTCATGTAAATTGTGATGTGGCTGTATGACAACTGTTTTATTACCTAGAGACCAACAGTACTGTCCTCATTCCTTTTGAGGTCTAGAATTACCATCCAAGCAGCTCATACTGACCCATTCACTGCCAGCATCTTTAGTTTCAGAGGAGCTAGCAGTGATGTGCCCACCCAAATAGTGACCTGTGCATAGTCTCCAGCATGGAGAGCCTAGCCCAGCAGAATAGAGCACCTCTTCTCTCCACCTGCCCCCCTCTTGTCTCTCCATCTTCCTGGGCAGTAAGAAGGTGGAGGGAGGCTGGTTTGATGGAGAGGTGGTGGGTGAGGGAGGGATGGGGGAGGTAGTGGCCGGGGCGGGGGCCACTCAATTCCCCTGTGGCTGCCTGCTGGAGCGAGGTGACCCGGCTTGTCGCTCGGTGACCTGTGAAAGGGACATTATGATGTGTGAGTGGCTGTCACTCTAACTGCGTGTGACAGCACGGCTTCCAGCCCACCCTGGCCAGACCTCCCCCGCCCATCCTGCCCCAGCCTGCCCCAGCCAGAGACCCAGGACCCAGGGAGAAGGCTGCTCTGGTGAAGGTGTGGACCGGGGTGGGGTGTTCAGAGGCTGTCTGTGGTGGGGCAGGAGAGGGGGATTAGAAGGAGAGGAGAGGTGAGGATGTTCAGGGCTTTTGCTCTTACTGGTGTAATAACCTCTGGGCTGATTCCAGTGCTTGAGAAATAACCCTGCAGCACCATGGTGTCAGAGGCAGTACAGCTGGGCTTTGAGCTGCTGGGCAACACGGGGATGTGATGGTAGAGGTGTAAGGGACCTGTAGATATCCCTTCAGCCAGCAGGGTTACACCTGGCATCTGTGTCAAAACTAACTTTATAACTTGTCTTTCCATGTCAGTTTCCTTCTCTGCACATACTTTGGTTCCATTGATCTACATCAGTGGTCCCCAACCTTTTTATCACTGCGGACCGGTCAACGCTTGACAATTTTACCGCGGCCCGGGGGGGGGTTACGTAGGTTGTTTATATTGTTAATATAATAATATAATAAACGTAAATGACGGTCCCATGTGGGGGTAATAGGAGACAATGACACCCGAAGTGTGTTGCTTATGTTCAGTCTACTCCGTTGTTTTGTTTTGGTTGCTGTCACTGCAGAAAAACCCGCTTCACACAGATAGGATGTCGGAAATGGCAACAGGGTTTTCAGTGCTGTGGTGGCGATCTCAGGGTATTCTGTCATGACTTTAATCCAGAACACCGACAGAGTTGTTGTCTCGAACATACTTTTAAGGCCGCCGTCATTTGCGATCTCCAGCAGTTGATCTTCTTCTTGCACAGACCTGCTGGATTCACCTGGTTTGTTGACAAATGGGTTGCGGATCCCTTCCTTGGCAGTTCGTGGGTCCTTTGTGGTTGGGAAGTAGCGCTCGAACTCTTTTAAAAGCAAAGACATGTGATCGTGCACCAGCTGGGAGAATGAAGACTCAGGCTCAGTCTCACCCAAAGTCTCATGTTTGAAACATGTCCAAAATGCCTCTGTTGACGCGTCGTCCCCACAAATCCAGTTTGGCTTTAAATGCAGCTACTTTATCTGCCAACTTGAAGACAGTTGTCATTTTCCCCTGAAGTGACAGATTGAGTTCATTGAGCAGGCTGAATATGTCCACAAGTAAGCCAGTTTTGGCGCTCAAGTGACCGAGATGTAACCGAGAGAATACGGTCATTTTTCAAAATAAAAGATCGTTCAGACTCAGATAATAAATAAAACGGAAATAATTAATGATTTCTTGTGCGGCCCGGTACCAATTGATCCACGGACCGGTACCGGTCCGCGGCCCGGGGGTTGGGGACCACTGATCTACATGATATCAGGTCACCGCAGAAAGCAAATGACATCAGTTTACAGTGGCTTCAGAAGGTATTCAGGTCCTGCACACTTTATATTGTTGTAAATGTAATTTTAAATGAATACAGTTGCCATTTTGCATGAGTTTAGTCTCAGTAACTTATAATGAACAAACTGAAATTTTTGCAAGTGTAATAAAAATCAAAAACTGAAATCTTTTTTTTACGAAAGTGTTCAGAGCCTTTGCTGTGGTTCCAAACTGTGGTCACGTGCATCCTGTTTGCTTTAATTGTTTTTGAGATGTCTAGAACTTGATTTGAATCCACCAAATCGAATTGATTGGATTCTTAGATTCTATATACAGGGTGGGCCATGGAAAAGTAGACCGCCTGCAAAAATAGACCACTTGCTCGTTCATCTTGGCGGGCTACTTTTCCGTGCCCCAGCCTGTACAATCTTCTGACTGGATTAAGTTTAGAATGGCACATGGCTGTATAGAGGGTTTCGCAATTCAGTCTGGATGTCAGGACAAAAACCAAAGTGTGAAGTCCAAGAATATCTCTGTAGTCCTCTGTGATAAGGCTGTGGTGAGGAATGGGGTGGGGTGGGGGCTTCAGAGATGGGGAGACTGGTCAGAACTGAGGGAAAGATGAGTGCAGAGACCTGAGACAAGTGGTTTATCTTTGGAGCATGAGAATGACCTGAAGACAACCCTGGAGTTACTTTAGGACACGTCTGACTGTCCTCAAGTGATCCAGCCAAAGGCCAGACTTAAACCCGACAGAACATCTGTGAAGAGACCTGAAGGTGGCTGTACAGACACTTCCCACCTAATCTGGCAGAGATTAAGAGGATCTGCCAGGAAGAATTGGATAAACCTGTGTGGAACTCTCAAGGGTTGAATAATAGTTGGGTAAAAAAAATATCTGAGACCCAAGAATGTAGAGGTAGGGCACACCAACCTTGAATGTGGTTCATGTTTGTGTGGTTTAACTGTATCAGTACCACTGTTGTGAAAGAATAGTGGTAGGTCCAAAGGGTTGTTTGAGGACCAAGATCCTAAGGTTTAGGATTCAGGTTAGAAATAAGTGTTTGGGGGTTAGGTGTTTGGTTGTGATGGTTAGGAAGAGGGGCTAGGGAATACATGATGTCACTGAGTGTCCTAACAGTGTGTGTGTGTGTGTGTGTGCTTGTGTGTCTTTGCTGGGCCATGGGAGTGGCAATGTGGTCACACAGCAGGTATATACGAGTGATGGTCCTGTCAGTAACGGGAGCTAAATTGCCGACATGGCTTGATCCCTGGAAAGGTGAACACTAGGACCTGGATTTTTGCTGATACATATTAACAGTATTTGCAAGGTAATTTTTTTTAAGTAGGTTTCTCCCAAAAGTAAAGCAGGTTTTTCTGCAGTTCATTTGGGTTTTCACCAACCTAAGCTGCAGTAGATGTGGTGTAGGTAGAGCACAAGTAAGAGGGAAAACATTTTTAAAGTACCTTAGTTGGGCATCTTGTTTTTCTTTTTTTTTTGTCTGTAAACTGCAGCCTTTCATTTTTCACTTTCACATAAACTCTCATTTGTATCAATCGATTCACAACTTTCCAGGTATGTATCTAAATCTTGCCACTTTACTCCACACACCTCTCTCTCCCTCTCTCTCTGTCTGTCTGTGTGTGTCCCTGTGTCACGGCTGACCTGTGTCTTCTGTCTGCCCAGCTGGCGCCCTGTGAATCGGCTGGGCAGAGGCAGGAGGCAGTAGCAGCTCTACTGGTGCAGAAAGGGGCACACCAGGAGCATGCTATCCCCCCGGCTGCCGCTTTCATAGCACACACACACATGCCTGTGTATATATTGCTATAACCCAAATGCGTGCACACCAGTATCAGCGGACCAGTGCCAAATAGGTTTGGTCTGACTGGGACCTAGTTAACTGGGACAAAACATTTGTTTACACACTCGACAAGTGCACACAGACTCACTGAGCCACACACACGGTAGTAGATGTAGAGACACTGCTATACCCACGCAAAGCAAAGCATACAGTCATCGATACTGTTTGCACTGAGCAAAGCACATAAGCGTCTATTGAACCACGTTACTAGCTTGTATTTGTCCTCAGGGTAATCACTGGAGGTTCCTTGTAACTTGCAGACTGAGCCCTTGCTTGTACTTACCCCTGCTTTTCTTCAGCTCTGGGTATTTCTGTCCTCTCTCTGTCTACCACTCCATCCTGACCTTCTTCTTGCAGCAACTTTGTTAACCCAAGTAAAAACCCTGATGCCCTGAGATCAGACCTTCAATAATTAAGATCAGTGGGAAGAGGACAATCGCACTGAGACTTGCGTAATTTTAAAATGGGTCAACTCAGGTGGCTTAAATTTTAAATGTCAAGAAAGACACAAACTAATGGAACAATAGTGTGATATGTAATATGAATTTTAGTAGCCTTCCTAGTGCGACTTATTCTGGCTAAGACATTGAAAAGGAAGTATTGGCACAGAAGAAGGAAGTTGCTGATTTGCATATTGTGTGATTATTGGAGTCTTGAGTATTCAGCCAAATGTCCTTATTTGTATTTTTGTGTGTGTGTGTGTGTGTGTGTGTGTGTGTGTGTGTGTGTGTTTGACCTCTTTCACACAGAGAGACCCCCAGTTGTGCTCCAGTAGCTAGTTGAGCTCATTGAAGCACAACCTATATGCTCAGTGGCATTTCACACACCCAAACAAGTGCATGTAAACACACATGAATATCATTTATCCAGCTGGGGTCCCATGCAACACACACAGATACACACTGACATCAGCTTATCCCCTAATGTACGCCTTTCATAGCACCTGTCTGCAGCCCCAGCCTTATCGCCACTGTTATCTGCCCAGCTCTTGCTTCCCCCTGCAGGTCAACCCACCCTTTGCCATCCTCAGGATGTGAGGCACACTTCCGCCTTCAAAGTTGTACGCCACTACCTTTGATAATCAAGATAGAACCTAATTGAGCTCACCCATGCAGAAGACGCTCTCGCCTTTTTGCGTGCACACTTTTTGTGGAGATGGGGGCCTATACTGTTTCAGCTCATCCATCTGTGAGATTTTCCTTTCCCCTTTTCCAGTCCTGCCATCATCTCACTAATGGTGTTTCTATCTCTTCTCCATAGGAGGTAAATGCAGCTTTTAAGCAGGGCGGAGGGAGAGGGGACCACTGAAAAGATTAATTGACTTTCTGCAGAGCTTCACTTATCCTCCGCTGGCACCTTTGACTTGTGAGTGTATTTGTGTTTGGATTGCATCATTATGTCGCTGTTACGGCAGCAATTTGTGGTTTGTTCAAAACTGTGTCGGGAAATATCAAACTGTGTCTTATCAACCGTTCATCCACATTGGCTGCTCGGTCCCTTTATTCAATTAGAATGAATCTTTCTGCAGTTCTTGGTAAAATACTTTGCAGTTATAAATTATTAATGTAATAATTGAAAACTTGTCCAACTTTGTAGATTTAAACGCCACAGTTAAATTGAAACTGATTAAACACTGTTTGTGTGCGGGGGACGTATATTGGTTTTATCTGTCCCTTCTTGGTCTTTTGCTCTTTGTTAAACACTTATGAGGAACAGATTTGCCAGAGAACATGAAGCACAAATGTGAATAAAGTACACATTTGGTGGCCCACAGTCAGTATAGTGGCCGAGAAAGCTCAACAGAGGCAAATGGACAAAACTATCAATAATTTGGAAACCTGTGTGTCATAGTTTGAATACACAAGCAGCATACAGAAACAATTACTGATGATCAGGGACTAAATGAACTGAAGGACACACAGTTCTGTGGTGTTTGTTACTCCTAGTACTCCAGCTTGTGTTTTTTATATTTGCTGAAGTGTTTTGCTTATTAAAGCTGCAGTGCATTGGCGTCTCTTGGCGACTGTAACTGCAGCTGATATGATGAACAGCCACACAGGAAGTACAGCACAACCTTGGATATTCTGAAGCTGTTTAAAGATGTTTGCATTATGCTATATTAACAGCATAGTGTCTGCATTGACAGCTTAAATAGACCACAAAGGACACATTTTTTATGTCTAAAGTCTGAAATGTTTGTGATGATTGCAGGTTTTGCTTTATAAATAGATTTGGAACCATGTAGGGAGAATTAACCGCCTTTGCACAACTTAAACAGGGCAAGATGGAGCTCTGGATGATTTATGTGACTTACTGAACAAAACTGCTTAGGGCTGTACACAGTATAGTGAATTTCCACTTAATTTTGATTTAATTTGGGAAACTTCTTAGTTTGTGTTTGTCTGTGAGAATGTGTGGTGGTGCAGAGTGAAACCTCTCCCTCGTCTTACACCTTTTAGTTTTATTGCAACGCCTTCTAGTCAGCCCACTGTGTGTTTCTCAGTTTTCCACCTTCATTTAACCTCCATCACCTCACGGTCATGGCTTTACACACCGGTCCCCTGAGTAAATCACCTTTTGGCCTCACCACACAGTAAAACTCTGTCAGTTATGTTGTCTGTACTGGTGTCCCTCTTTGTCTTCCTCAAACACGTTCACAGACACACACATTGATGTGCATGCAGTACATGTACAGGTGTCGCTTATGTACTGTAGGCTGAAGTAACTGACTGAGAGAGAAGAAACGTATGTGTGAATGTACAAAGAGTTGGCTCCCCACCCCCATCTCCCTGCTGTAAACTCCACCACCCACAGCTGCACACACTTCTCCTGTCACGGTGATAATCTCTTTGTCAGGATCCGTCTGTTAGAGATTTGTCCGTCTGTCTGAATCTGTGAACGTCCGAGTAGCAGGTCTAGCTGTAGTGCCGCAGGGTGTCCGAGGGTGGGTGTTTGTGTGTGGGTGTGTGTCTGCACGGCCACTGCCATAGGTGGTGGGATCTCCGTCCCTGTCACACTGTGAATGTCGCTTGTCTTCAGACCTCTGTTTTGTGTTGTAGAATGAGGAATTCTGGGCAGAAGACAGACGGACGTGGCTACACGAATGCTGGTGTAATTTGAATTTAACATTTATTATCCAAATTAATATTGTGTACTGTTCTTTTGTTTGTGTCCGTCCTTTCTTGTCTTGTAGACAATGTGTATATGTAAATAAGCATTATATTTAGTATGTGTGATACCTGTTTATTAATTAGTACTTTACACCGTGCCCTGCCTTTTTTAACACAAGGGCAAATGTATAAGTGAATTTTCTGTACTTTTAAAATATGCATACGAGTTGGAGCTTGATAGCTCAGTATACAAGTTGACTCCCTGTAGAAATTCTTGCACATACACTCAGCTAATGACTGGGATGATTTGAATGCTGCCAAATAACTTTTTCCACTTGATCTGATGGTGTTTTTGTGTATTGTGGACTGACTTTTAAGCAGCACGGTAACTCTGCTTAAGAGCAGCTGCCAAATGTTGTAAATTCTAATGTCTTTTCACTTTCTCTTTGCAGGAAGGTCAAATGTCAGGTCCTGCTACAAGACAACTCCTCCAGAGTGAGTAATAATTCAACATCTTGTTTTGCATCTTCCTACTCTTGATATTAATTCCTTTCACCTCTGTGCTTACTTTAAGGGACACAAATGACCAAAACCCGTAACTAGAGTTATTTGTATGTCAAGATGAGATTGAGTTGGTGAAGCTACACAAAAAACAAAAGTATGGAGACATTAACTTATAATAAAATTGTATTAAGTTGTAAGAAAATGAGAAAATTCTGTTTTTCTAATACACCTAGAAGTTCTCCCTTCATGAAAGATAATCTATATTCTGACAAAGCTGTAATTGTTGGGTTGAGTTATTGTTTCCCAGAGCTCTTTTGCCTTTCATCTCTCCGCTCCAGACACCTTCGCCTTCCTCTATCGGTTGTTTGGTCTCCTCTTGTCACTCCACTGCAATCATCTTCGCAGGGGGGCATGTCATCTGTATCTACTCATATCTTACAATCCCTTTTGCTCTGAGCACTACTGCACTTAAATGTCAGGGCTGATGAGCCTGCCACGCCCACCTGACACATCAGCTCAGCGCCTGCTAAAAGCTTTTGTGGAACAGAGTGTGAGCCTGGTGGTTGATATAAAGTAAAGAGTTTTTTTTTCTTCTTCTCTCTTTTTTTTTTTTAGGGATTATGGATCCAAAGGGACAACTTCAGGTAGGAAATGGGAGAAATAGTGTGAGAGTATAGGCTGTGATTGGTTGCCATCTAGTGGCTCTAAAAAGGGCTTGCTGCCTCACTATTGCAGAGGTTCATACAGTAGCTGAAGCTGAAGTACATTCCCCAGTGATCAGAGGAAAAGAAAATATTAAAATTTTGCTTTGGTGCTATTAATCATGTCAAATTATATTCAACACGAGAAATATAGAAATGATAAAAATGGATGTGAATTTAACTCTACACCTAATTGTCTAGACTCACCGCCCATTTTATTGGGTACAACTTTACAGTTGTATGCACTTCAGTGCAACACTTCCACTTTTAACATCTGTTTATGAAGCTCAAAATGTTTGTTTTTGGTGAAATTGTCATAAATGTACAAATTCAATTATGTTTATCATTGAAGTTAAAGGTGGTGTTGCACTGGACTACATTATATCCAGAGGTGTTCCTAATATTCTGACCCTTTCATGTATGTAACGGGGGATAACAAAAATCATAAGACACACCTCTAAATATAATGTAGTCCAGTACAACACCACCTCAGTAATAAACATTCTACTTGAATGTATACATTTGACAATTCCACCAAAAAACCAAAACACTGAGCTTCATGAACACAGATACTAAGGCAGAAGTGTTAGATTGAAGTGCAGACAGTTGTACCCTGTCCTCAGTCTGATTTAATCACATGCAATAGTCTAGACTCCATCTTAGTACTTCAGTTTTTGCTTTAAGGTTTAAGCAGTTTGGATCAAAAATATGATCGTCTTGGCCAAAATAATGTGACTCATCACAGATTTTAGTGTTGAATTGCGCTGTATTAGTTTCTCAATAAATAAGTTCATTTTCTGTGATGCTCCTTTTTTTTTTTTTTAAATGACAGGTTAACAGCTTCATGTTGATGCAGAACACGCACATGGGTGAGTGACACTGTTTCGTCCTTTTCCTTTATTTGTAAATTCTAGCCAATGATTTCAACGACTGGCCAGGTATAGACAATATATACAATCTGAGCAATTGATCCACAACACAGTGTAATATGTACAATCTCAGTATATCTGCAGACACACAATATATACATTATTACTGCTTATTGATAGACTGTATAGAAATGTAGTAGTGCTACATACAGTCTAACCTCTATACTAGTGGTTTTGCACAACAGTATGTACAATCAAAATTACTAAACATTTACAATAATCTGCACAGATACATCAGTCCCAGCTCTTAGGTTGTGCAGGGCAACAACACACACAGATTGTGTATTATTAAACATATGTACAGAATTACTGTATCTCTGCTACAGTGTTTATTGGTTACACCAGTAAGTATGTGTACTAATTTTGGAGCATCTACATTCCTACTGGTACACTGTACAACAAAAAGTGTGTTGGGCATATCTGCAAAAAAACACTGTAAAGTCTCACTTCATATTTGGGAATGTACAACTTTTTAAATACAGTTCAGGGCAGCAGCAGTAGACAGTATATACAAACCTCTGACAAAGGCTTTCAGACACAAACGGCAAAGAGAAGCCTACTGGCAGCGGACACACTCGAGCGTACACACAGTGATAAAGTATCACATAGAATGCTGATTTATTTATACAAAGTATTATAGGCTGCAGAGTTTTGCTACAAATGTGACATTTACAAAAGAGCCAGATGAAGCTCTCCAGTTTTATGACAGGAGCCAAATAACATTTAGGATTTGTTATGTGGGGGAAAAAAAAACCTCAGCAAACTACGTTCAACATAAATACCTTCACAGCTCATCGGGGAAGTGCAGCAGTGATACTGTACATTTAACAGTACGTTTTATAAGAGTCAGAGGCGGCTGGAAGACGACACGTACAGTGAAATTATTTAGCATAATACGAACAGTAAGACTTCAGTGGCATTGTTAACTTAAGAATAATTCCCCTTGGTAGGATATTTACATTTTTAACATGCATAACCATAGAATTCAGACTGACTGGAGGAAAACCTATAATCAAAGTGTCACTGCCTCCTTCCAACAGATAGTCATGACTGTGGAAGACGGTATTAATGTTTGCCTGTCCATGAAGCCCCGGTGACACACGCATACAGGTATGTGCTGAATATGACCACGAAATTAAACTGACGTCTCATGTTTGCAGCAGTGAATACAGATCTGTCAGATTTTGGTGACTAGCCCAATTTCTCCCACTTTCAGCTGGAGGAGCAGGTAACAGTTTATCTGTGTATACTGCACCACAGCTCTAATTGGATTCCCCACATGTATTACTGAAAAACAAATGTCCGTGGCTTCACTTAGCCCCAGCTTGTTCCTCTCATGTAATACATACTTAAATCACACAGATAACTCTTCTGCTAAGATACAGGATACATGCTGACTGTTTTAACCCCAAACTGTCATTTGACAACAGTTGCTCTAACCCTTATAGGCTCTTCTAACAATGCAGACTAAAAATAAAATGACTTCTTGGTTAATTAAAGATGGCGACAAGAAATGACGTCTCTCCCACTTTTTTTTTCTTTTTTTTTAATGAAAATTGAGCCATTTTCAAATAAAGCCAAAGTGGTGATGTCATTTCCGGGAACCATTTTTAATCTTTATTTATATGAGAAGAATGCATGTAGTTGAGAAACAGTTTGAAATTATATTTTTCCTGGACTGGATTATTTTTTGATTCTGATTGTTAGAAGAGCCTGTGAGAGTGCTATCAAATGATGACATGGGATTAATACAGTTGGTGTGTGTCAGTTCTGCAGGTTAGCACAAGAGTTACCTCTGTGTTCATACACAAGTATTACATACCGGTGTATATAATACACGAGTGTCACAAGCTGGGGCTAGAGTTTACTCTGAAAATTAGCAACAGATTGGATTTTTTTTTTTTTTGTAACTTGTCTGAGAGCCAGACTCAAAATTAGAAGGGGGACAAAATTTTAGGCTTCTGCTGCATTTAATTCAGCCCTGTGTGTTCAGGATAATATTTATTTGAAGGTCTAGTAGTTAACTTTCTCTGGCTATTGGATTTTGATCAGTTTACATTGGGCTCTTTGTGAAGTTGCACTATCATTAGTTTGAAATTTAAAGATTTAACATTTACATTTTATATTAGGTGAACTGCTTAATTTGATTTATTTGGGCTTGGTCCTTTTGGTGGACTGCTACATTCAGTTTATAGACCTATAAGCACATTGTAATAAGGTTTGTGCTTGTAAAAATGACACTTTCTTTTATTATACAGATATATAATTTCTTTTGAGCTTCTGAGACTACTCATTTTCCTTACAGTCTGAATGAACTTCTGGACTCTCCAGTTTCTTCATCACTCTGCGCTGAGCCAGGCTGGAGGACTGAACAGGCTCCAGGACCGGAGCAGGAGCACAGCGCCTCAGAGCAGCATAGGTGGCTGACAGAGCACCCTGGTGGAATGAAAGAGAAACTACATTATTCATATTCCAACAACTCTAAGTAGCAGACAGTGTCACATAATGGACTTTCAGAGAAACACTACAGTATTTTACATTCCATTGATGCCAACATGAACTCTGCTTGGAACCTAAATACAGCCTGACAGATTCTTTCAAGCAGGGTGAGAGGAAAACATCGAAACACTCAAAACTGTTTTTACAAGATGTGCATTGACCACTTAAGCTTTTATTTAGTTATAATCTGGATAAAACATGCAGTCTGAGAAATTCATACTGGGTCTAGTGATACACACAATCCATACAATAAACAATATGGGATGTAGGTACACTGATCTGGCATAACATTATGACCACCTGTACCATCTGTATGCACTTCAAGGCAACACTTATGTCTTAACATTTGTGTTAAGTCCCAATATTCTGACCCTCTCATGTATGTCAATGGGCAGGACAAAAATATAGACACCTCTGAATATAATGTAGTCCAGTATAACACCACCTTTATTATGACGTCAATAATAAAAGAAAAGTCACTTTCGGCTTTTCCCTTTTAGGGGTCGGACTCGCATGTTGACATATGGCACGTGTTTTACGCCGGATGCCCTTCCTGACTGTTAGGTAATTTCTTAGTCAGATAGATATTTAGAGATTTGCTGTCTAGAAATGTTTAGTGTAGCCAGGATGTCTAGCTCAGGCTGCAAATTGTTCTTAGATACACACCACTAATCAACAGCCACACACCTTGACTTTCCTCATGTTTTGACTATTGTTATGGTCAGCTGCAAGCTGGCATATCAGGTGACGTCACGGTTTGACGTGCCTGGGTAGAATGGGCTATCCCAACCAAGTGATTAATATTGTATAGGTTTTTGGGTTCAGGGTCTTTCATCTCCATGCTGCCTGCGCGCAGGTTTGGTGGTGGGAGAGATCTGGACGTGTAATGTTAATTTTGCCTGTGATCCTCTGAATAAACCAGCACGGTTATTTTTTATATAATCCAAGTGGTCTACTTCGTCTTTGTGAGTTCCTGGTTTGAAAGAGCCGGAAGAGGCTTAACAACAGAAATTGAGCCTATAGGACACAACACTGATTTGAACCCGGGCCACAGCGGTGAGAGCGCTGCACCTTAACCACAAGCCTACCAGGGATGGCTAACTATGACCTCAATAATGAACATATAATTGAATTTATACATTTGACAATTTCACCAAAAACAAACATTTAGAGCTTCATAAATACAAATGTTAAGGCAGAAGTGTTGCATTGAAGTACATACAGATGGTACAGGTGGTCATAATGTTATGCCTGATCTGTGTTTAATCATTGCAACAATTAAATATAATAGAGAATATACAGTATTTTAAAACAACCTTCAGGCTGCTTTCTAGTTTTAAAATGTTTTCATTTCAACAAACAGCTATTTTACAAATATAGCAAAGTTTGTGACCTTTAGGCAGCAGTCGTTTTTCAGCTCAGCTACAGTTTACTGAAGCACGTGAAGTGAAGCAACAAAGCCTTTACCTTTTAGCTTAAAAGTAAAACAGCTGCTGTTTTATTTTCAGAAGAAATTTAATTAAGTCCTAATTCAAGTTTAAGTCCACAAAATTCAGATTGATATATCAGTTATCTTTGGATCTGCATTAATAAAACAGGAATACAGAGATTAATATGTTTATCTCTGTAGTAATCTGCACCCACACACACACACACACACACTCAATGGCTCTGACCTTGACAGTGACTGCATCTTGTCTGGTGAGAGCTCTGTCAGAGAGCTGGTCTCTCTCTACAATCCAGGGGTGACGAAGAACCTAAAGAGCATCACAGCAAAAGGGATTTCCTTATGTACTGTTTCAACAACTGACCCAGACCGTGATATAAAGTACAAACAATACAGCATAGCTAACATAATATAGTGTTAACTTCAACTCAAAGGGTTAGAGAACATTTGAAATAAGGGGAAAGTATTATGTTTAATCTGCACCAAGTAATTTCTTCAACTCTTGAATTAAATAATATATTTAATAAGGCTTCCTGTTAACTTTCTGTAACTTGTAAATGGTCAATAAGACCTGTAGCCTAATAAAGCATACCAAAGTCATTTAAGGGCTGACCATACCTGTGGAGCAGTCAGGCGCTGGTGAGGATCCACATGGAGCATTTTGCTCACAATATCCTGTCAATTATACACAGGTGATATTAGTATATTTAGACAGTAGCAAGATGTTGGCAACAAAACAATTTTACATGCATCTCTCTTAAGAATAAAATATTGAAATGCAACCTTGGCAGAATCAGTCACCAGGTCCCAGTTTCCTCCTGTGATCATCAATTTCCCACTGGCAATCTGAGCCAGAATTTCCTCTGCTGTGTCCTTGGGAGTGCTGGCAAATGGGCTGAAACTGGCCAATAAGAAGAAAAAAAAAAGCAATTCAAAGCTTGGGTGAATTAGAAGAATGGAATTTGTGAGACTCTGGAGAGCCTTCTCCACTCTATACACTGTAAATGGTGAGAAAAACATGATGAATTAAAACTGTAGACATATAATTTAGAGAATATAGAACACACTGTGGAACAGATGAAAACATATAGCCTTAGATTTACCAGGGGTAAAATACGTAGTCTCTCATTGTCTATGCTGTTATTTAGAACATGTCCAGCTTACAGAAGCAGAGGGAACCCTACATGCTGTTTACACTTTCATACTAGAAAGCTGAACTGTACAACGGCAGCCTGTCACTGCTCATAGTAAAAGCTTTTAAACAGACCCAGCTATCATGGTGTAGAGCAGGATCCCCAGGCTCCAGATGTCACAGGCTGCATCATAACCCTGCTTCCTCAGAACCTGCGCGCACACACACACACACAGTACTCATTTCAATACAACACATAGATGAATGTGATTTCACAGGTTAATTCTTATAAAATGTATTTCTGATAGAATGTGTGCTGGTGAGATATTAAAGATCTGTTAAATTTGGTTATGATTCAGCTGATACCTCAGGAGCCATGAATGTCGCTGTGAAACAAGGGGTCATTAATAAGCCGTTTTCAGCTCTGAGCTGTTTGGCAGAACCAAAATCACAAATCCTGATGCATTCTGGGAGTCCACTGTCATCAGAATACCGAAGATTACTGGGTTTCAGGTCTCGATGGACAACCTGAAAAGGGGAAAGAATTATTTTCACACTATTGCCAAAACTTACACCATCAATCTTTTTACAGCTGTCTCTGTTCTATGGCTTTTATCACTATGTTGCACTGACTTTTCAGTCCGATCAGGATGCATTAAAGTAACATGTTTAGAGAAAAAATATTTAGCAGTTGATCAAATTACTACGTGGTCTTCATAGCCAGACACATACAGAACCATGGGAAAGTCTTAGGCTACCATTAGAGTTATTGTTTTAGCAGTGTTACAGTGCCATCAATCAGTCCAAATTTATTTGTATAGCACTTTAAAAACAACGTCTGGTCAACCAAAGTTCTTTACACGCCAATGCAATGCCGGCAATACAATGGCTATAAAAATGTATTTATCAGAATACAACTGATAATGTATATAGGAAGTATGTACACAGTATAAAAAGTGTCAGAAAAAAGTCAGAAAGCAAACTCAGGATGTGGTATTCAAGATGTTCTAATGAAATATGAATGATTTGGAGAGGTCAAGGACAAAAAAAACAAATGGAAGACCAAGAAAACTGTTAAAATCTGATAAGTTTCTTAGGAAGAAATGGCTGAGATGCGCAAAAGCTCGCAAAGATTGGAGTGAAGATCAGTGGAAAAGAGGATCATGGAGTGATGAATCGAAGCTTGAAATGTCCAATCATCAACCTTATGTGAGAAGAAGAGCTGGAGAGAGGAGGAAGAATAAGCTCCCTTACAGCCTTCAGTGAAACATGGTGGAGGGTCTGTCGTAGTTTCAAGACAAGTCTCCCCAAAAGAATTCAAGCTGTGCTAAGTGTAACAGGAGGTCACATTAAATGCAGACTTTGGACTGGAGAAGCCATTTTGTTCTGAAAATGTTTTGTCAATATTGTGTACATATTCCACCTTTTTCTGGTTATCTTAATAAAAAGACAAATATAATTTATCATTACAACCTTGCCAAAATAGCTAAACTAATGGTGGCCTAAGACTTTTGCACAGTTCTGTACATAGTGTATATTCCAGGCCACCATAATGTAATAATAGGTTTTTTTTTTTCATGTTTTTGTTCTGTCCCTCCATCTTACCCCCTGTGAGTGTAAATATTCCACAGTCTTGGTCAGTGTGCAGATGATGTCTGATGCATCTCGCTCTGTAAAATTTGGCACCGACAGAGCTCTGTTCAGCAGCTCGTCTCCTCTCAGTAGATCCTGAACCAGGAACACATGCTGGCTGTCATCAAACACCTAATGGGGAAAGCAACCGGTACACAGCAGATTATGACACAGACGCACTTGGCTTATTAAAAACTGTTACTTTCTTCTTGTCACTTCATGTTGTTTATACTTACATCCTTCAGGGTAATGATATTTGGATGCTGCCCATATCTCAGTAGGATCTCAATCTCTTCTGATGGATCTTTCTTTGTTTTGTCAATAATCTGGCAAAAACAGAAGCACAGGAAATGTTGTAAAAGATTTCAGCTTGTAAATATGTCCGTGCTAATATATACATGACCAGATGCAACATTTATTCAGTATATGGAGTGTTGGGAGTATGTGATTATTACATTTTGTTAAGTGCCTGATAGATTACATGTAGTGCCAGCAATCGATTAAAAAAATTTAATCCAATTTAATCACATTACTCTCCGTAGTTAACTCATGATTAATCACACATAAAAAAAATCTGTTCTAAACAGTAATATAAAGTAGCAAAGTACATTTGCTCAAGTACTGTACTTAAGTACAATTTTGAGTATTTTCATTTTCTGTTCATACTGAGTTCACTATGTTTTAGGGGCAAATATCGGGCTTTTTACTCCACTACATTTATTTTATAACTAGTTCCTAGTTACTTTTCAGAACCAGATTAATACAAAAAAATACCATATGATTATAAGACTCATTGATCTACAGTGGAAAATTCACAAGCCACCCATGTTGAAACAAAAAGTTTAGAGAACATCTGTACGTGTCGTGTTTAAGGGTCCACTACCTTCACCGAATACTCCACAGCAGTAACTCTGTGAAGGCACCTTCTCCAGATGGAGGTCGCTGTCTGTGCCACTTCTCCCTTCAGCTCATAAACATCACTGAAGACCACATCCCCACGGAGGCGCTGCAGGGAACACACACACACACACACACACACACACACATCCTGTTTTTACCATTACATTTTGCATACATGTTGGAGTATTTTAGTTAGTAATTGCTCCATCAGCCAGTCCCTGCATTAATACAGTAGCTGACAGGGATTTATTAGAATTAGATGTGGAGCAAGACATTCATTATTTCCTTAAAAGGTATATACCTGGGCTATTGGGTTGATATTGTTCACCTCCTGGCGGGAAGGCGCTACTGTAGCAACACTGGGCTCCTGGTTTTGATTAGTTGCAACAAAACTGAAACCACGGAACAACTGGTGTGTGTTCGCGCTGGGAGGGATACCAGGGGAATCTGGGTAAGCAAAGACACAAACATTAACGCAATACCTCGCTATGATTTCTATGGTCTGAAAACTTCTTGTTTAAAGGATCCATTTTTTTCTTGGTGTATTAATACATACAACATGCATGGATATGTATGTTTTACTTACCAGTTGGTGTTCTGGATGTGAACTCAGGGTCAAAATGAAAAGTGTCTTCAGGTCTTCCAACAGTTGGTTTGAAAGGAGGCCTCACTTCCTTCCTGTACAACTTCTACAGAAAACAACAGTGACCAGCGTAAGCACTGCTGTCATCAGAAAAAGCTGGAACGTCATGTAGAATGTATGATTATAGTTGTATTTAGTTAAAGGAGTTATGTCAACAAAACATTGCTTTCTTTTCATTAAATTACTGTTTTGGGTGTCACTGTAAATAGGGGTTATGTTCCCTGACAGTTATGAAGTGCTCATGTCTCAGATCAAACTAATCCAACAGCAGGTTTAGTGCAAGAAAAAAAAAACTAAGTCGGCAATTTCACAGCCTAATCTTAAAATTTAATTACGTGGCGCAAGAAAACAATACAAGCGCATAAAATAAACACAAGAGAATAAAATGAAAGATGTCAGTATCAGAACTAGACTGAAAAATAATGTTTGGCCTGAACACATTTATAGTTTCATACCAGAGCAGACAGTACTTAGGTGTATTACCAAATATGGCCTGCAGGTGTCACCTTTGTCATGTCAGTCGTTGCCTCCTGTGAACAACCTGGCAGAATTTCTTTGAGTAGTAAACACGTCAAGTAACTGTAACAGAGGACTCCAGCACGGGAAACCGATATTTACAGTGAGACCAGTCATGTTATCAGTTGCAAATGCCATTTATTTTTCACTGAAATTCATTGTGAGCTGCTGAGAAGGCGATGATGCAGTTTTTCACCTTTCTGAGTAAAGACGAATGAAAGATGGGATGATCATGGAGGGAAAAGATAAGACTCTGATGGACGACAGAGAATCATTCTGCCTCATACAGCACAGTGATTTAATTGGCATAGTGTGGAGGAGAATGTAAGCCTCTTATTCATAGCTTGACTCATAAAGCCAGCAACAGCATCTGCAAATGGGAAAATGTGTTTGGCAGGAAGTGAGTAGGTAATAAAGTAGAGAGGAGTGCAGGGTGAGGGCAGAGATTAGTGGACATGTAAAGCAGATAAGAGTGGATTTTGTTGGAAATGAGCACATCTTTACTCAACAGCAGATAAGCAATAGTCAATAGCCTTCCTAACATCTTGGATAAAAATAGGCTGGTGTTTTTCAGTTTTGCTGAGATTTTTGGATAGATTTCCGAAGACCAAAGTGAAGCTCTCTAATGATGTACTACTGTTATTGTGATAATGATCATTAAAAACTGCAAGTACCCAGGATATACAGTAGTTACATTGGTTCTTGGCTTTTCACCAGTGTAAAATTGTTAAATTACTTTTAACAGCTGTTGTTACAGTATGAAGTAGAAGCCTTCTGAAGCATGAATGCTACTCACATGTAGCCCAGGGGCTCCAAGAATAGCTTTGAAACAAATAGCGTTTCAGAGCATGACTCACTGACATTTAAACAGGAGCTCTGAGTGCTTACAGCTGAAAGAATGATCCTTTTTAACATGACCAAGGAGTGGATGTCAAGGTTAGATTATGATAGCATAGATAATGTGTATGCATATGCACCAACACTCTGTGCGAAAGGCTGTTTTCTTTAAGAGGATTAGCTGTAATACTGTAAAGTTGGAAAAGATAGGCAGAAAGGGAAATTAAGGAGTTTTCACAATATAATTTATGCTAAGGATGTTTAGTGATTCACGACTGTGGGCATCTCTTGAGGAAGTGAATGAACAGCCATAGGGTTTTGATATAATTGAACAAGAACTATAGTCACGGCAATCTGATCCAGATGTTGTTCTTAGAAAAAATGCTTTAAAACTTATCCCAGGCCACTAATCTGAATCATGCATTCCAGAAATCTGTACATTTATAACACGTAAAAAAAAGGCTGTATTTTTTTAAAGAAATGTCTTTGGGGAAAAAAGATTTCTCACCTTTATATGATGCAACAGTAAATGTAAAACTTATGTAACAGTGTGTGCGCAACCAGGTGTAGAACTAGATGGAGCTGTTGGTATTCACTCCCAAAGCTTTTCCATAGCTGTAGCTGATGCCTGGATACAATACAGGGCTCACTGTGTCTGGGAATGTTAACAAGGCAACTCCTTTTCACTTCTGGCTGTACTCACATTTTTCAGTATACTATATATAGCACGTTTATAAGGCCAATGAGGATAAGAGAAGTCATTTTCTATATTAACAGAGACTAAAACCAAGAGTGAGTTGCCTCTGCTCACTGTTAATGTCTGTTAAACTGTCAGTCCTGGATCGTCTTATTCATCGGTGTCATAGACATTTATTGTTCAAAAATGATTAAAACACACTGCAGCACTGATTGACATGTTTCCTCGTCACCAGAAACACCATATTTTTTAAAAATGGTTTCCCAAAGGCTCTGAACAGCCGTAACTTTTTACAGGGTCTGAAGTAAGCAGGAGTCAAGGGCCTGTGCATGATCTCTCTGGGTACTGTTTACAAACAGTGTTTCGGAATGAGGAAAGGTCACCCTGTGCAGCGGTTTGTTTGCCAGATGACTTTTAAATTGTTTTTGAACAACAACGGAGGTTTGTGGCACAGATGAATAAGATAAATCCAGGATTGACAGATTGACACTGAGTAGAGGCAGTTCATTGTTGGTTTTAATCTCTGAATGGGAGTGCTGAAAATAGTTTTATAGAAAATGACCCGCCTTACCCTTTAACACTACCCTGGTAAATGGAGAGCGAAAAAATGAAACAGAAAAAAAAAACATTGCACAGGCCAGCTTAAAATGCTGACTACCTAATATTTTTCACAAATTATACTTACATTCCAGTCTATCGATGCAAAGAAGCGGTGTCTTTTTATTTCTTCCACTCCTTCTGGTCCTGCACCTATCAGTCACACACACACACACATTCACAGAAAAAAAAAACAAAGAGCATGAATACAGTGAGTCACTTTTTATTGACATTATTAGCTGTAGAAGCTGTGAGACTCATGCTTATTTTTGATTTGTAGAACATTATTTCACCACATCAGGGTGATGTTGTAATAGTACTACCTCCAAGTGTCTCATGTTAACTGACTCAACTGTTTTCCAAAGAGTTCAAAATGTCTTTTCAAGTTGCTGCCATCATCTGCTGCCATTACTCTGAAAACATATCCGCAATTTCCAAGGTTAGTACCTAGTCGATTAGCAGGGTTCCTCTTGAAAAGTGCTCTTAATAAACTCTGTACTTCAGGACTGAGGAACTGTGGCATTCCCAGCTTAGCCCTGTAAAATGAGACAGGAAACAAGTTTATGTGCGTGCACTTGTTTGATAATGCTGCAATGTGTCAACACTGGTTTTAGTATTTGGATCGGTTTAACTTTACAGTATTATCCTGTTTATTCAGGGTCAGTGACAGATTGAGGCTGGTCATTAAAGGCTTATCTTGAGAGAAGCATAACAGAGATGAGACAGATCACAGAAATGTGGTTGCAAAGAGGAAGCTGATCAGAAAATCTGAGGGAAGAATTTGACCAAAATGCAGTAACATCCTGTGCATAAAGAAAACCACAATTAAATCACACAGAAACTAAGAACAAGACACTAATAATGCTGAACGATGAAAAGACAAACATTGTTAAATATTTGGCCAGACAGTAAATGTTGGTCATAAATAAAAGGCTGTAAGAATAGCAACAATAAATGATCAGTTTGAATTGTTCTTACTTTAGAATAAGTGCCATTGTTTCCTTCCGATCTTTCCCTTGGAACGGTAATGATCCTGTTAACATCTCAAACTGGAAAAGAGATGACATCTACTGTCAAACTGACTTCTGCTGCATATGAACAAGACCTTTGACTTGGTAATGGTGACATCATAAACAAATGTAAAAGCAATGCCTTGGTAAAAGGGATGAGTGACACCTTCCCCTGATGCCCTGATGTAGCTGCCAGCTGTTGGTAAATGTTAACCTCCTTTTCAGTATTAGCAAAATAAGCCACCAGACTAACAAAACAAGCAGATGTATGAAAGTGATGGGACTTAATCTGCCACATATTACTCAGCTTTACTAGCAGAAGAAAGCCAAAATTAAGAAATCACTACCCAGGCACATTATCACATTATGAGCCCTTGGCTCAAAAGATGCTGTATAGTAAATTCATGCCTGCTGTATCTGGCAGAATGATCAGACAAAACATGCAAGTCAGTAAGCAAAGTGAGGATATACTCAGAGGAAAGAGCACATGTGCATATAAAAATTGCAAATACATAGGCTATCAAAATAAAAGCTAGCTTTATGTTTAATCAGTCCTTACCATAAGAACACCAAATGACCACCAGTCAGCACTCTGTGTATGCCCTCTCCTGTTTACAACCTCTGGAGCCATGTACTCTATTGTTCCACAGAAGGAATATGCCCTTTTGTCATGGTCGATGGCCTCCTTACTCAATCCAAAGTCTGAGCAGAGAGAGAGAAGTGGGGAATAAGGTCAAAAGAAAGATGGATGAAGACAAACAAATCTGTAGCTGGATGCACTGACCAGTTATCTTGATATGTCCTTCTTCATCCAGAAGAATACTGTTGGGGAAAATGAATATTAAAATTGTTTTGTAAAACAAGTGAATACAAAAAAGGAGCCTTTAGGAGACATTACTTTTCAGGCTTGAGGTCCCTGTAGATGATCCCCAGACTGTGTAGATGGTCCAAGGCCAGGGCCAGCTCTGCAAGGTAAAACTTCACATCCTCTTCTGTAAACATTACCTAGAATAAACAAACACTTGGATGAGAAGTGATATAACACTAAAGCAAGTGAAGTGGTCGTCCAACATCAGGACTGTCACCAAGAAGGCACAGCAGAGGATGAACTTCCTGCTCCTGCTCAGGAAGTTCATCCTGCCCCAGGAGCTGCTGATACAGTTCTACAGAGGAATCGTTGAGTCTGTTCTCTGCTCTTCCATCACTGTCTGGTTTGGCTCAGCAACCAAAGAGGACAGGAACAGACTCCAGTGGACAGTCAGGACTGCAGAGAGAATCGGTGTCAGGCTGATCTACATAGAGGACCTGTACACCTCATGTGTCAAAAGGAGGGCAGAGAAGATCTCTGCAGACCCCTCAAACCCTGGACATAAACTCTTTCAACTCAGTTGGTCAGTTAATACCTTTGTTCTTTTATCAGTTTAGAAAAGAATGTTTTCTCCAGGAGGCTGGGGAAGCAGCAGTACAACAGACACTAATGGCTTTGCTCTGCTGCAAAAACAGATTGGTTAAGACTTCCTGATGGGAAAAAAACTGCACTTATCTACCCTTATACAGCAAAACACCTGAGTAACACTGTGTGGTCTCTGTTACTTTAATGCTTATACACTAACTTGTTAGTAAACAGAAACGAGGGTCACATCCACACAGCGCTGACAAGAAGAGTGATGGCAGATACTCTATATTCACTCCTGGTGATTCTGATTCCTAGGACCCTGACCTCCTTCTTAGTGGAGATGGAGAAAAATCTTGGGAGGGTATTAGCAGCAAACCTACCTCCTTTGACAGACGAGTGAAAAGGTCTCCTCCTCGGAGGAAGTCTAGGATCAGATAGAGCTTTCCTTCTGTCTGGAAGGCTACACACACAAATACAGAAGTTATACAACACATACTAGCCTGAGGCTTTATCCAGGGCTGGATCTAGAAAACTTTGGATGGTGTGGCCAGGCTGGGGCACAGACTCAGAGAGGGATGGCACATTTGAAATACATGTAAAACATAAATTCTACCCTTAGTTCTATGAAATAATAAACCATACATTTTTAAGTATAACATTTTTGTGTAAAAATGAGATGCACATAGTAGTGCTTTCTTTAGCTGGTGCCAGACCTGGCTCCACCATGGCTTCATTGCTGTATTGTATTCTACTATTTTGAGGATGTATTTAAAGTAGAAAAGGTGTATACTGTTCATATCCAACCTCAGCAGGACATAGGGTTGGTACAAAATGAGCATCATCAGAATTTAGTGCATTCAGTTTCAGTTTGCAGACTTTGTTTTATATATCCAATCTATTCAAATCATTACTGTTCCTAACATATTTTATGTAAAACAGCTCACAGCAGCTAATGATCCAGGTCAACGGCTCTAAATGCTCAGGTGAGTCACCCAGTGGCCGACAGACGCCAGATAGCAAAGTTAATGGAGTCAGAGGGTTACTAGAAATACGTGACATTTGCTCAGCTCTCACCCAACTCCAAACACTGATGTTTGTTATGAAATGAAATAACATTCAGCTTCTACATTTAACATATTTCTTAACAGACTTCCCTTAAAAACATAGTTCCAAGTTCTGTATAAAGTTACAAACTTCAGCCTCTTTTGTGCTTTTCTCTTGTCAAAAAAGAAGATGGGGTTTGTTACATATGAGGGATACACTATGAGTCCAGTGAGACATATATTCAAACCAGCACCTAAACACAGACCATTGGACAGTCAGACTTACCATAATGCAGTTTAACTATAAATGGATGGTTCACTTCTGCTAGAATGTCTCTTTCCATCTTAGAGCGCACACGATCCCGAACTGAAAGCGAGAGAGAGGAAAGACCTATCTGTATAACACTGTTTAATCTACATGTGGATAAGTCTAAATGATTTATGCAAGACGAAACTGGATCTACTTAAATGACAAATGTAACCTAAATTAGACCCCTCCCACAGTGTGGCTGGTTTATAGTGCAGTGGAAATTACAGGTAACAGTGTTATTACAGCATCTGTCTCCTTGACAGGATGAGACCATAACTATTTAAATTCCAGAGGTGCAGCTTAAGAGGATTTAGGCTTATGCAAAGACACTGAATCTGAAGAATGAGATCTCTTCCAGCTTTAACAGTACATCCTTGTTTAAAATAATCCCATTTGACATAAATCAATTTATCTGACTCAAAAGTACAAACTAACCTCTTTTACCCAAAATCCTCATTACTCCGAGAACTCTGGCATTCAAATATCTCTTATCATTCCTGCACAAAACCAATGACAGCCTTAACAAATTAGCACTGAGAGGTCGTTCTTACAGCACAATGCCGCTCAATATTCAGTTTTTATTGCAGATGCTAAAAGCATCCCAAGACATAAACATATTAGTAGTGATATTGCATCTCACATTTCAGCTTTTCAGTTTTACCTTTTAATGTGGCTTTCTTCAGGACCTTCATGGCATACAGTTGTCCTCTATCCACTCCTCTGATCTTCCTCACCAGAAACACCTAAGAAGTCATCCATCACTGTCATCAGCAGCTCTTCTGAGAGACTGGTTTTTACTATCAGATTGTAATGATTTCAAAATGCCCTTATAGTAGCAACATTAGTTAAAAATTAAAACACAAGTAGTGGGTATATTAAAATGCACATCATTCGGTTGCTGCTAACAGAAGAAACAATTTCAGTAACACACTTTAATACACTACAGGACCTTTATGTAAGACCATGCCCACCCGCTGAAGCTGCAGCCATCTGCAGTTTATAGGCTACAAAGCTTTGTTAAGTACCAGCTACCACAACATTTCATAAAAGATTCCCAGAAATGTTGTTTCACTGTCAGAAACAACAGTTATGATTTACACACGGCTGCCAAATAGTAATTAAGTATGTGTATGCCATCCAGGCCACACTGACTTCACAGCCTGAGCTTATTTGCCTGCCTGTGGCCTTGGTTAATGAACGTGTCCGCCAACATCTGCTGTGGTCTCACATTTGCCTCATGCACACTTCTAATCTACAATATTTCTATAAATTCAGTGGGCCTTTACTAATTCAACTAATCTTGGTGATCTGTGGCATGAAGCACGTCCTGTACTGCTAATCTAGAAATAATTGAAAGTGGATGGCTTATAATACTGTAACAAATCAAAATGTGAACTTAGCACAGTTAGTTTTTGTGCTGAAAATACAGACAAATTATCTGGGCAAAAGTAAGTAGACTTTGTGCACTTTTGGACTGGGGCTGTTTTCCACAATTAAGGCTAGATCTCTTGGTTAAGGGAACCCCTAATGCTACAGTATAACATATTTTAGACAACAAAGCCTGCAATGGACTGGCGACCTGTCCAGGGTGTACCCCGCCTCTCGCCCGCAGCTGGCTGGGATTGGCTCTAGCCCCTGGGACATAAGCGGTTTAGAAAATGGATTGATGGAGACAACAGAGCACTTCTTATTTTGTGGCTGCAGTCTGGGGACCACTCTTCCTTGTTTCTGCTGCACACATGCACAATGCACCATAAAGCCAAGGTTTTCCCAGTTCAGTGGCGACTGTCCCAAACAGAGTCAAACCAAAACCTCTGGGATAAATTACAATGCTGACTGTGAGCTAGGCCTTACTGACTGAATAACTCTAAGGTCAGAGCATCCTGATAAGATGGATTCATGTGTACACATGTCCCGGAGTTCTACAGAGAAATCATCGAGTCTGTTCTCTGCTCTTCCATCAAGGTCTGCTTTGGTTCAGCAACCGAGCAGGAGAGGAACAGACTTCAGCCTGCCCTCCATGGAGGACCTGTACACCTCACAAGTCAGAAAAAGGGCAGAAGATTTCCGCAGACCCCCTCACACCCTGGACATAAACTCTTTGAACTTCTCCCCTCTGGACGGCGCTACAGGTCACTGTACGCCAAGACAACCAGACACAAGTACAGTTTCTTCCCCTGGGCCATCACACTGATGAACACTTAATCCATGACTGGTTAATAGAACGACAACCCTCAGAGCACTACCTTGAAACTCCCTCATCCCCTTATCTGGGGTCAGGTCGCAGTGGCAGCAGATTCAACAAGGTAGTCCAAGACGTCCCTCTCCCCGGTGACATGTTCCAGCTCCTCTGGTGGGATTCTGGGGCGTTCCCAGGCTAGTTGAGATATATAATATTTCCCAGCGTGTTCTGGGTCTGCCCCAGGGTCTCCTATCAGTTGGACGTGCCCAGAAGACCTCCAAAGGCAGACACCCTGAAAACATCCTGACAAGATGCCTGAACCACCTCAACTGGCTCCTTTCAATATGAAGGAGCAGCGGCTCTACTCTGAGCCCCTCCCGGATGTCTGAACTCTAAGGCAAAGTCCGGCCACCCTACGAAGGTAACTTATTTCGGCCGCTTATATTCACAATCTTATTCTTTCAGTCACTACTCACAGCTCATGATCAATGAGGAGGGTTAGAGACTAGACTGACTGGTAAATTGAGAGCTTTGCCATGTCATACCATGTTTATTGCGTTATGGAAGAACCCTGTATATGCACATTGAGAGCCACTATAGCAAAGTCAAATTCCTGTGTGTTCAACACACCTGGCCAATAAAACTGATTCAGATTCTCTCAGCTGACTTTACAAGAGATGTGGTTTGAGAAGTGTGGGTCTCAGAGATTAAAGTTAAAGGGTATATCCTGTACCTTCCCATAGGAGCCCTGTCCCAGCACTTTAAGCAGCTGGAACTGAGACGGGTCTGCTTTTTCACAACCCTCCTTAACATGGTGGCTGATGTCAATCTCCTTCAGTATGCTGTCATCCTAAAGGAAAGAAGGTAACAATGTATATGTTATATACCAATTTAATATGAGGAAATAAAAAAACAGAGAGAAAAACTAAACAGATGGAAAAACATGAAGACAGAACACAATGGCAAGTGAAAAACTTTAAAGAATTAGTGGATCTACATGATAAAGACAGAAATAAACCACCCCACTCTCTGCACACACTAAGAGAGCCCTTATGTTATTTTTGAAAAGCTATGGGCTGAGGTCACTGGCAGTGATGCACAGTGTTAGCTGCCTTTTTGAGCCTATTCCTCGAAATGAATGATCAACTTGCAACCCGAGGCACAGCCTAGACCGCTCAGTGTGGCAACATACTGAAGCTATGTGAACCTGTCAGTGTCACTAAGAACTTTATTTTTCAATTTCAATCAGGTATAACATGTGAACAGCAGTTGGTAAACCTAGAAAGGTAATGGTTGTAAATTATATTTATTTTGGTAGCTTAATGCTGTTTATTACGTATGCTTCATCATTTTACAAGAAGTATGATTCTGCCTTCACTGAAAACTTTCAAAGGGGAGACATGGTTGAAAAATGGCAAAAACAGCAGTGAACTGGGAGTTAATGCAGCTGTCCTATTTACGTATAGGCACATAATTAAGATGTTTGTTGGACTGAATAAGCACATGGTAAAAAAAGGAATGGGGCCATTTTTCCAGTGAGAAGTGAAACAGAGTTTCATGTTCCAATTGTTTTTGTGCTTCTATGTTATGTATCATTAACACCTATTTTAGAGGACTACATATGGTTTCAAGTTATTCATGTTCAAAAGACACATTTTGACTTTTTATAGCACATATTAAAATGTATATTTCAAGCCACATAAATAAAGATTTATTTCTACAAGGTACTGACTGATGGATCTTCTACTGTGAATCATAGAATTGACTGTCAGACGTCTTAGGAGCAACCCCATCACCAGATAATGATCAGAGATCAATACTTCTTCTGAACTCAGACTCAGAGCCCATGTATAGCTAGAAATATCCAAACTTGCACTTCAAACTCTTTCTGCAAAGACAGCAAATTCTCTGATTCTTCTTTGACCACTGTAATGAAAGTGTTGAATCTGCATTAATAAAACAGCACATTTGCTTTCCTGTTACAGTCTGCCTTGACCAAAAGCATGTGGCAAGAGAAGTCATATGATCAAATTCAAAGTCAGCCTTTAAGATTTATTTTGATTGCAAGAATCAAATCTGCCAGTGGTGGGAGATACTTCCAGTTGTTCCCCTTGCCTCAGACTGACTCATCAACAAAATGACCTTTCTTATAATCTAAGTAGTTCCATATTGGAAACAAGTGAGGTGATTTCACTGATGTTCTATTCACTATTCAATCATTTTCAGTTCTGCAGTGTAAATCCTAAAGTAAATGTAGAAGCAGTTGGATTCACACATTCATCCTTAGTGAAACGAGGAGGAAACCGACCTGACAGTTGACAGGACAGTACAGTATAGCAACAGTGCATATCCACATCCCACGTCACTGTCAGTATTAAAGGATTCCCTGTTACAATAGCTTTTACTCAGCTTTAACAAGTTTTCATGTGCAAAATGATATACTTCTAACTGGAGGCTATGTTGAACTCTATCAAATCAAATCAAATTTTATTTGTATAGCGCCAAATCACAACAAAAGTCATCTCAGGACACTTTACAAAGTAAGGTCTAGACCTTACTGTTATCAATATTATTACATAGGGAAAACCCAGTGGGGGACGGGGAGAGAGGAGAGACAAAAGAAAAGAAAAGCAACAAGACACAACAAACACAACAACAAAAAAAATCATAAAACTGGGCAGGTTGATGTGGCTGGTGACTGCTCATTAGAAACATAGAGCTCCAGAGCCAGGGCAACCTGCAGAAAGGTACAGGGAGAGAGAGAGGACACACTACGGGAGAGAGGATACACACAGTTAGTGATGGGTAGTGGTGGGATATAGATGGATGGAGAGAGAGGAGAGGAGAGAGAGGAGAGCAGAGCAGAGCAGAGCAGAGCAGAGCAGGAGGGGAGGGGAAAGAAACTCAGAGCATCATGGGGCCCCCCAGCAGCCTAGGCCTATAGCAGCATAACTAAGGGAAGGCTCAGGGTCACCTGGTCCAGCCCTAACTATAAGCTTTATCAAAAAGGAACGTCTTAAGTCTAATCAATCTATCAAAATATAATAATTGCATTAAGCAAATTAGATAATACATTATGCATAAGGTTTATTATAGACAGCAGTATTTGGGCACAGAGTAAACATGAGATGCCTATAACCCTACTGGGGTTTGCACTTTGCAACTCAGTGTTTATGGTTTTCCTGCTGTGATGTCATTGCTTGGGGTGTGGCCCAAAGTGTAACCACTGGGCAGCTTCAGCCCACAGAGAGCCATGCAGGAGCAGTTTGCCTTAAATGATTAATTGCTACTTTATTATTTAAACAGGGCAGCAGGAGTGATGTCCAAACAGGTTCAAGGCATCACTGAAGATCAGCCATACAGGCAGAGAAGCACAAGCAGATGATGGTGGTGGTGGGGTCTATTTATATACCAAAAACAAAGGTAGAGGTGCTGCAAACAGCAGACTGCCTCTTTCTCTCTGGCTGATTTGTTTGGTCTATAAATAGACCACTGGTGTGGCCATCTACTGAATCAGCCTGTCTGGATCCATGTATCTATCAACCTGCCTGACACGCTGCTTTTTTGCCTGTTAGCGTTTCTGTCTGTCTGACTGGATTTCCACATAGCCTTCTCTCTATGTGTCGTCCCCCCCATCCGTTTTCTGGATTCTTTACAACAGCTGTGCCGATGCTGCAGTGACTCCTGAGCCACCCCACAACAAACATTATCACGCACCCATTCCCATGTGCACACAGACTCTTCACACATGCTCACGTGAGAAAGCTGCAGGTTTTGTTTATTTCTTAGGGCCTGGGCTTTTACAGCACACAAACACACATGGCGCAATCGATGCAACCACTTCCTTCAGCCCCCACAGGCCTACCTATCTGCCACTGACATAAGTTTGTACTTCTAAGCAAATGTCTTACTGACTAACCTCTAGTTGGCAGAATCCAGGGCTGTTCTTGTTCCTTGCCGCCTTGTTCTTCAGGTAGATAGAAAACCATCTCCGAACTGTGAATTTTCGCGTGCTGGTATCCATGGCAACGGGCAGACCTGCGCATCTATCCCATAATGATGAACATCTCCCCGAAGGGGGTCCTAAGGTAGAAATGCAGAAACAGAGCTTCAATTGGTTATCAGTTTGGCCCCTAGTTTCTCCATTGGCCCATCCTCAATGCAGTAGTAGCTTTTTAGTTTCCCCATCATTCACATTCGCCGCTCGTATCTCTGGTGGGCTTCGGTCTGTCGTGCTGCCCTCCCCTCAATGTCTCTCAGCTGCAGTAGACGCCAGTAAGCACGCAAGAGTTGTAACAGAGCCGTTAATCTACGCAGACAGACGGTCGGGGCAGCGGACGGGGCAGGTGCTGCCGGGTTTGGGATTGCCTTGTGTTTTGCAGCAGACTCGCTGCTGGAAGCTGCAGAGAGGTGAAGAACAAGTCTGTTCTGCTGAATCAGAAGAGAGATGTGAGAGCTGCTCCTTCACATCTCTGTCCCTGCATGTGTGCGTCCCTGCCCTGCTGCCTCCCACTCTCTGCAGAGCAAGGGATTGTCACCAGTCACATTGTGCGCCGGCGAGCTCCCGACCCCTCCCTCCCTCATTCTCCCCCTGTTCCTGCCCCTCACCTCCATCTCTGTTTCTCCCACCAGCATACAGCAACAGCTGGCAAGGTCACATGGTGTAACCCGGCTGTCTCTCTCGGTGTCCCTCTGCCCCTTTCCCTTCTCATTTGCTCCTGCATCACATCCAGTGACACACACAATGAAAATATGACAAAGATAAAAAAAAAAATACACAACAGTAGTTGGAAAATGCAATGGCCCATACTGTGACATTACATCAGAATTCAATGACACACCGAGGACACCAACCAATGCTACAGTCACCAATGGTGACAGAAACAATGGGCAGCAATCACAGAGCGCACAGCGTTAGTGTGTATGTGTGTGTGTGTGTGGAGGTATTTGGATCCGTCTCATCAGCAGCTTTGCAGAACTGCAGTGTTACATAACCGGAGGGAAGGAGAGAGGAAGAGAGAGACGGAGACATGTAGGGCGCGGTGGCGGGGCTGGCTGATGCTGTACCTGGCTCAGGTGTTCACGGGCGACTTGGGCTTTCAACCCGTAGAATACAGCGGGATCGTAGTTTCGGGGCTTTTTAGCACTACTGTAAATGCAATCAGATGCCTTTAGTTAATGAGCTGAGCCGAGCTGTGGGAGGAGACTCAGTATTATGGGCTGGATTGAGGCTCTGTAAGGAGATCACAGCATTCATATTCATACACACTGTGCAAATATGGACAGAGAAATATAGTGTTGTTACTAGACTACATTACATTACATGGATATACTGTAGACTTACTGACCAAGCTCTATTTATGGCTTGAATATATTTAAAATTATATGCAGGAAGCTGCATGTTAGAAACGTAAACGAACACACTTTGTCAGTATTGCATGTTACATAATAACTCACTGATGACTAGAGGGCAAACTGACTACATACACATTGTTTTATTGACACTGAAAAAACGGTACAAATAGTCATTTCAGTAAGTACACTGTGGGTTTAAAAGTTATGGCCCTGGTCCCCAAAGCCCTTAAAAGTGTGTATTGATCAGTATACCTTGTGTAGTGATTTAATAACAGAGAACACTGCCTATTTGATTTACTGGATTAACCTAGTTATCACAATGTCAAAGCATTTAGTTAATAACTAAATATCCCATCTCTCAAACAAACAAACAACAACAACAAAAAAAAACTTAATACTTACATAGCACATATGCAGTGTTGGGGAAGATACTTTGAATGCATAGTGTTGTAAACTACCAATTACTTCAGACTGGAAGAACTTACCATTTGTCAATTGTGTAACATCAGTCTTCAACTTGAGCCTTTTTAGACAACATGAACAGCTTGAACGCTGCTCTAAATAACAGCCCCATCTTGTCATTGATGGGACCAAGGCAGGCGGACGAGGTGCTGGGAGCGCACTCGGCCGTAGCCATAACATCCTTGCACATAAAGCATGGTAAAAAAAATGTTTTTAATTATTCATTTCTTTTTATTGCCTAAAATTACTTCAGTACTTAACTACACAAAACGTCCACTAAAGTAATTTACCTACTTGAATCACTATGCAAATATGAATGAAGCTGAACTATCAGCAAACTACTTCAAAATCTAGTTAAACTACTAGTTTAATCACATGTAGTTCACTACTCCCCAACACTGCAGCTAAAGCACAAATACACACACCAGGGCTCCACTTGTCCGCACAACACCAATGATGCAGTCCATAAATTCCATGTGTGCCTCCCTCCCTTGACCTGAACTAACTATGATGCCCCTGCTGTGCCGTGGAACAACATGTTGTGCGCTGTCCGGCTCATCTTGAAAGTTAGGAAGGGACATAATTCCATCTAAAGCCCTCCAAAGTAGTGGAGTGTGAGTCTTTGCAGGATATAAACAGAACAATGCACTTTGTGATCTCTTTCAAAACACTGCACAGCCAGCATTTACAGTTCAATAATATACATCTGTACTAGTCCATTTTTGGCATACATGCATATGATCATTCAAGCTATGATGTCCATTGTGAAGCCTGAGAAAAATAAAATTATATTTAGTCCATGTGTGTGTGTGTGTGCATACTAAATTACAGTATAATTGACTTGTAAACAAAGAGTGCATTTGTTTCTACTAGGGATGCAACGATACCATAAACTCATGGTACAGTACTGCCAAGATAAAAAGTCCACAATGATATTTATCACAATATTAAAAACTGAAGAAAAAAGATGGAAACATCCATTACTAACCTTTTTAACTTGAAGTGTTCCTGCTTTACTTTTAATTAAAATAAAAGTAGCCAGCCATGACCTAAGCATGTGCACAAACTTGGCATGAACTGGCACTGAATGACTGAACTGTTGTATGACTTAACAAAAGATAACGCAGCAGTCAGTAGCAGCCCTCTTGTCAAACAAAAAATAATATATTATTGCAGCAATTAATGTTCAATTATTGGACCACAAGTGTGTGTGGGCTGGTATTTTCACAGGGTCTGATGATTTGATAGCCTTTAGGATCACTTGTGGTTCTTTTTAGTGGCAGGTGTATAAAAAAAAAAAAAAAAAAACTGAAATGCTGCAACACAGCAGGTCTAAAAGGTGATGATGGACCATTCACTATGCGAGTTTCAAATTCTGTGACCTGAACGCAGTTTTACTAGTGAAATAACCATATGTAATATCCTGGTGGATACTGTCACAGTTCCATGACGGCACCCGGACATTTTTCTAATTGCAATATCGCAAATTTGCAAATATCATTACATCCCTAGTTTCTACCGTATGTTTTTATATATGTGCAGTGTAATGTATATATTTGTAGTGTGTTGTTGCATGTTGTGTTTTATGGCAGAGGGGGGTAATAAACTGGCATATTATGGTCACACACACTGAACTCAGATGCCTTGTCAACAGCAACGCGATAGTCCCAGTCTCCCTTAGATGCTTCCATGGTAAACTGTTTCTCACAGTCCATCAGAGTAAAGTCAAGGTCAAAACAGATTTCAATCTGTCCCAAAATCTGGATATCGTCATTCTGTCAAAAAACAAAAAACAGACTGTCAGCTAACATATGAAATACATCTTAAAAACAGCTATGCCAGGCACAAAAACCTCAACATTTCTTAGAAGTAGGATCATAAAATATGCAAACAGCTAACTATGATTTTATTATTAGAATGAAATTCAGAAAAAGGTGTGCGTACCTTTGATGGAGGGATGCACTGGATCTTAACTTTGACACCATAGAAGTTCTCTATGGCTCCTTCAATCTGAGAAAACTACAGACAGACACATTAGGAGCAGAGAGCAGACCAAAAGAAAGAGGCAACAGCTGTCACCTTATTAATACAATGTAATTTCATGCAGAAGATTATTCTTTATTTATCACTAACATTTTAGATTTTAATGCACCATGACTTGATATTAAAATATAAATAAACCTACTGTGAAGTATTTCTCTGAAGGGGTGATGTCAAACTTCCTCAGGACGCTACAGTAACAGAAACAGAGATTTCCATTTGAGGCTTTGAGAGTGACTTAAAATAAATATGTACGTTATGTCTCTGTGTGTGAACGACACTGTGGACTGCAAACGTGAACAGTATTAACAGGAATGTCAGGAAGACAATACTAAGAATGAAGAATTGAGACAATGGTGTGTATGTGTGTGTGCGTGTGTGTACGTGCACATGTTTTGTACCTATTCAGGTCCACTTTGTGATATAGTTCCAGGGCCTTGCTGAAGTATTTGTGTTGACTATTCAGTGAATCTGCTGTGGCTGCACATGTACCGTGTTTGTGCCACTCGTACTTCCTGTTGAAACAGACAAATAAGTGACAATAAGTCACATAAGCGAGGAACACAATATAAAATATGAAGACCAATGGTATCTTGATTTGGTAAATTATTAGTGATTTTCAAGGTCATGGAGCATCTGCATTAGTTGGTAAAACACCAAAGGTCCTGAAGTCTGAATATGATGATAAAGTAAAGCTGATTAATAAAGGACATCTAAGGACAGTGTGCTTGTCAACTGTAATCACTGTAACTCTGTTGTAAAATGAGTGACGCTGCACCTTGTTAGTCAGTTACACCATGTTTTCAGTCTCAGGCAATTCTCAGCTTTAGAGAGAAATAAGATATAGCTGCTGTAATATAAGCCCCTACATGGTTGACAGTGTACAGGGTATGGTACAGTAGGGCATGGTATATTACAATAGTTCTTATCACTATGACGCATTACTTGCATTATCGGAATCCATTTGAGGATGTACTAATAAAACAGACAAACAAAAATGCAGAAGTCATGTAATACTTTTGTGGAAGTGGTACACTATGATACAAAAATGTTATTTAAAAGGACTGAATTATTGAATACCAGAATGAACAGGATGCGGGGTGAAGCAAGTCAGGCCAACTTTTCTCCATGTCTGGAAGCAGGTCCTGAAAACACACAAAAACAGATTATACACCCCTCCCTCCAGAGCCCCCTCCCCAAAATCATGGACGCACACTGCCAAGGCAACAACACAAAAAACTGGGCTGGGTGACTAAAAGAGAAGTGGACATCTCCTTCTCATAGCTGACAAGATGTCATCAAATGATCAACATGCAAGCACACAAACAGCAGCCAAAGCACAAGGGAGTAAAAACTAGTGAGAATTAGTTCTTTAGATTGTTTTTTACAAAACTACAGTTATGACGAGGTTTTCAGCTATGCTAACAAAGAAGGCAATGTTACAGAGCGAGGCCAAATTGCAAAAACATGAGAAGGCGAGCCAGCATACGGGCTCCAGACAGCGATACTCACAACTCTCCTGCTACTACTGCAAACATCACAACAACTGGTGATGCTGCATGTCATGCAAATTAGAAAGTAGGCTGAACACCAGGTTTCTTTTTCAGCCCACACAAAGAATGGACAGCTAATGAATCACAATGAAATATGTGCTGAATCTGACAAAAAGTGTACTGGATTCAAACGACTTGCTGCACCTTTAAAATAATATACTCTGAAGAATGAAGTATTCTGCCAGTAGCTTTATCCCACTGATGTAAACTGAAGTCTGTTATTTTTTGATAAAAAAAGATAAATGACATTAAAAAAATGTTCACCTAATTATAAAGGCACTCAGTCTGACCAGCGTTATACCTCTATTTGAGAAGAGTTGAAATGCCATGATGAATTGCAATCATTCCCTTTATCTGGCCTGGAAAACAGAAAGTATCACAATATTAGATTTCTCCCTATCACCCCCTAAAATGGATATACCTGACTACTCACACACCCACACAAACACTTACCAGAGTCCATGTAATGTCCAGTAGCTAATATTGGGATGGCAGTGTTCCACCTGAAACATATAAAAAATAGTTTTCGAAATTTCATTTAGACACATAAGCCCAATAGATAAATCTGTCATTAGTGATCATGTTTCACTAATACTGAGCAGGCTCCATCTCACTGGGCTGAAATACAAGTGCAGGGACAAAAAAGGTTGCAATGACAACAATATTAATTTTGATAAGTAACTGTGAGGACGATAACCAACGATTATTTCTAATGCTGTAATTTTTTTTCTCATTCTAAGATCAACCAAGTCATTGTTTTGTCTATATATATACAAATATTTACTTTACAATATGCGGGCCTCGACCCAAATGCTGTGGAATGAGCTCAGAGAGACGTTCACACCAGACATCCAGGGAGTATGATTCTGAATGTTTAATGGCTGGGTTCAATAAAGACACAACAAATTATCTGTTTGTGTGTTATTAGTTTAAGCACATATTGTTTGTCTATATTTGCGACTTAGATGAAGACTGGATCACATTTTTTAACCAATTCATGTAGAAGACCAGGTAATCCCAAATGCTTCTCTCACTTTTTCTTACCAGTGTAAACTTCTTCAGCTGGGACTGAGACTTGGAGTTTAATCTAAGCTCCCTATAGAATATAAGCTTTCTTCAAGAAATATTCAAATGAGAACTACTAAACAGAACTGATAAACTGCAAAATAATTTCCACTACTGCCATAAATATTTCCTAACAAGACCACAGCGCTGACAAATCAAACCTATTCTTGTAGGAAACATGCAACTAAAAAGTACAAAATAAGGGATGTGTGTTTTGTGTCTCGAGATTTGGAACATTTAAAACTGTCCCATGACTCAGATATCACATGATATTGAAAGATTATACACTCAGGGGCCTGTGAGTGACACATGACTGGAGTAAAACAAATGAACAATTTAGAGTAAAGAGCATTTCAAACACTTTGTCATCCTCTTTTTAAAGACTATATAAAAAAAAAAGAACTAAAGACATGAAGACACTCACGCCACAGAAGGTGGTGGGCCATTGGTGGGTCAGAATCAGTTTGGTCCACGTGTGCCTGAAAAGCACACACACAGGTCAACGCTGCCACACCCGAGACAGAAAAGCTACCTGTTTTGAGCTACAGTGGCTCAAGAAATGACTTAGGCCTCATAACTTTTTGCAGAATTTACTCTACTACATTACACTCAGTAACTCATAATGACAAAGTGAAAATGTCTGTGATTTTTAATGCTAATTTAATGAAAATCAAAAACTCAAATCTAGTATTTACAAAAGTATTCAGACCCTTAATTCTGAACTTCAAAAAGGCCCTTGGGCACCAACTACAGCTTTCTCACGGATAATTAAAGCAAGCAGATTGGATCTGACCACAGTTTGGAACAAAGCACAGCAAAAGATCTGAATGCTTTCACTTAATGATAAAAAAAAAAATTGCAGACATTTCTAAAGACATGTTTTTTCTTTCTCATTATGGATTATGAGTGTAGATCAGTGGAAAAAAAAGATTTTTGATCAATTTAAAATTAAATCTACAAAATAAAGTGTAAAAAAGAAAGTCGGATTATTCTCATATTCACCTGTACTATACTATATTATTGTGCTGTACTTACGGATGTGAAATCACAATGGCAGAGGACAGGGCTGCTGCCAGGCAGACTAAGAAAGCAGAGCAATGCCTCATGTCTGGAATAAATCCGATTTGACAGTAAACAGCTGATTTCATCCAGAACTGGTCAGAGAACACATTAGTGAACATTACATTATAACTAATTACATACAGAGTGTAGTAAAGTAGCATTTAGTAAAAATATTTATTTCTTCATGTTTTGTCATTTAGATGCATTTCTGTAAAATGGATTTTGAAGAATCCATATATAAATTTAAAAAGCGGAATACATAATTAGTTTATTTAGCGAAAACAGACATTTGCACAGAATTAAAACAGGTAGGAGTTGTTAAAGGGGGAGGTTGGTGGTAAAGCAGACCTCATGTGACAGCTTTAGTGGGAACTCATCAAACCCTTGAATTAAGCATTTTCATCAGACACACAAACAATAATGGGCCTACACTGTAAAATGCATATGAAATCTCACTTAAGCCTGTCCACATTACCTGGGCCGGTTTGCAATAGTAAACTGCAGCATATCAATGATCTATTTTTAAAACCAATGCCAGTGATTATAATTGGATAGATCTCTCTCAAAATGTGGTAAAAGTGTGTTATAAGTTTGTGACAGTGGGAAACTTGCAAATGCGGTAACCATTCAAAAACTACCTTCTAGAAACATAGCAGCTATCTATCATTACAGCAATCGTAGAAAACCGCTGTCCAACAATATAACACCAATTAAATACAACTTATGTTTATGAAGTCGTTTAAAAAGACATTTCAGTGAAAAGTCAAGCGAACTCTAACGTTAACTTAAACATCGACGTGGGTGTCCGGTATCTACACATTAACACGCTTTCTGTAATTAATACTAACTTAATGTAAAGCTGCAGTACGGTTAAACATTAGCTAACTCGTAAAACTTAAGCAAACTCCTAAACAGAGTATAACTTTTACAGTGAGTAACGTAGTTAAGCTTGAAGTTCAGTTTTAACTGGCCTCACCTTGTGCTAGATATGTTGCAACAAAGATTCGTAGTTACCAAACAACCGGTTTCTCGTTTCATTATACACAACAATAAGTACTAACAGCCTGTTGTTTACTTCCCCCAGTCACTTCCCTACCTGTCTGCTCAACCAATCGTGGACTCTGCAGTGGGCATACGTCATCACAGGCATGTGTGGTGCTGCTTGATTTATTGTTCCGATCACACCGATGTCCTTCATCGTGTACAAGCGCTCCTTTCAAAACAAGTCGTGGTACCAGTGTGACTATGATAAAATCCCATTATATTTTAATAATTGTAGGGCAGTTCTGGTCACATTTTGTTTCATGTTTAACAAGAAATTATTACAATGCCATGATCTCTAAGCAAACGCTAAGCTAAGTTTTATAGTATAAGTGATTAAACACCACTACACACAGCCATACGTTTTTGTTTTGGGGAGATTACTAAATCAGATTTGAGAGAAATGCAAGTTCTTCAGCCTAACTAAATTTTTATAAATACCATTTAAATCTGATTTCAACTCTGGAGAGAAAATTGATGAAAACAGTCTGGACAACTTCAGTGCTTTGGCAACAGCATTTGTGACATTTGCAATTTTTGTCTCAGCTCAATAATGTCTTCACCACAAATTCTGCATGTATATGCTGGATGTTTTAAATATATATGTTGACAGAGTCATAATAGGATGGATATGTCACAGTTGGACTACACTCAACATACTGTGGTATTTACTGGTCATCTCCATTGCTGCTCTGTGCATTAATTCTTTTTTTTACAGCTGCTGCAGTTGTTTGGCAAGCTGCCATCCAATGTCCCTAAGCTCAACAAGCTGAACAGACATCATGTGACCTAAGAAAAGCTTTATAAAAACCCAAGATGAACACACTTTGCTGTAAATTGATAATTTTGTATCAAAATGCCTCAGATCCTGGTGTGTGTAAAACCAAGTCAAAATATGCTTTTGTGTATTTGATCAGTACAATTTATAGTATCGTTTTTGGGGCAGAAGTTGGCATATTCTTAATCTTTTTAAGAAACAGTACTACCTACTTTTCTTCAGCTGAAGGCAAATATTCTGTCAGTCATTTGAGTTTGTAAAATACCATGCTCTAACAATTCATAATTTAAAGTGAATTGAACAAGCCCGAATTATTAAATGTATGAAGTGCCCAAGGGTTACTTTTAAATAATGACTCATTATAACCTGATGTGTAAAATTAAGCATGTCAGGGGAGTCGAAATGAAAAACTAATTGATCTTTCTCTGTCTACAGGGACTGCAATGTCAGAAACAGTCAAAATGTAATATCCTTTTAGCAGAAGCAGAGATTGATCATACAACAAAACATGTATGTACATATCTTTTTAATGTTCAGGACTTTTTTCCCCCAGCGTTATTTCTTCTTCAGTCAGCTTGCTGAAAAATTGCCACCTTGTTATTACCTTGGAGTCCTGGCTTAGCAGGACTTTACTGGAGGCCAGCAACATAATGTACTAAAAATATCACTGGGCTTTGGTAACAGAGTGTACTTCCACATGACCAACAGAGGGCTCTTTTCAACCGCAGACAGAACTACCGGTAAGTCCTGTTTTAAGACACACACACACACACACACACACAATGAAGAAAAACAAGTACTACAATAGTGCACAAAAGTTCTATGAGTCTTACATGGACCTGATGCTTATAGCCCTTTTGTAAGACAATAAAGATTTTTAAATTAACCATTCATGAAAAATACATGTATCCCATGTTTACATAATTTTTAGTGCAGGGTCAAAATGACTTTTGCCACTCATTGTTTAACCTCTCAACAAAAATGCTAACCCCATCTTTTTAACACACTTGGTATTTCTGATTTGAATGTGACAGGAAAAAATGACCATTAACTAAATATTACCCTACTCTCTTTGTTGCTAAAGTAACCTCCATCTTCTTCCAAACCCATTCACATATTTCACACAGTCATGCAGACATCTATAGATTTCACCTTTTATAAACTCATCTGCCACATGTTCTTTTTCACCTTTTTGTCTTCTTGGCTACTGTCTTTCACACTTTTCTGTTTGTCTGCTTCACTTACTCATCACATGCTCCTCCCTAATCACTCACTCTGCCATTCTTCTTTTCTCAAATGTAACTCCATGTTTTCACCTCATTTAATTTCACCTCAGATGTTTCACAGCTCCTCCACTGTGTCAGGAATAGTCTAACTGCAACTGTATCTAGTTTTATAAATAGGCCCTGGCCAAAGCTCAGCATGCGGCACAGTGTCTCAAGACGTCTCTAAGTGCAGATGAAGAAAGATAGAGAGGGACAACAGTAAAGAGCTGCTAGATTTTAATGTATCATTGAAGCAGTTGTTTAATGTAGATATACTGTAATGCAACATTAAATTTGAAAAAAGATTTTCAGTTTCCAAGTGCATTTTGTATAAGATCTGAAATTCTATCTAAAATGTTTTACTATTCAATTACCATGCCACTGTGGCATGGAAGAATATAAGGTGACCAACTCACTATTATAGTGGTACTTGAGAAAGCTCATCACATTTTAGCTATTCTGGAGAACTAATAATGCTGTTTAGTCCCCATAACATCAGCATGATGGAATTCTCTGCAGTGTCAAACCTGCTGTTAAGCCTGCACGCCAGAAACCAGCAGCTGGGCTAACACGTCTGCCACAAAAAAACTGGACTGTTAATTAAATAGTTCGCAGGTTGTAGCGGCCCTGAGTCTTGAAGGATACTAGTTATATATAGGCAGCTCTCTTTCCTTATAAGGCATCAGGGAGAGGCGGGTGGGGGTCAGCTGGAGACGGGTGGTGGTTTGTTAGCCTTGTACTTGGTTTTGGCTGACTCCCTGTGGATTGAGGCTGATAACCGAAGTCGCTGCAAAGGAAATCTCAAGGGGTAAGACAACCTTACACTTAGTTTTGTGTTGCTATCCCCTGTGTATCCTCAGACTTTTCATCTAGTTTTGTTCCAAACCCAATTGATATGGAGGTATAGAGAACAGTTCAGGGGATGGCCTGGGGATGTTACGTGGTCCCTAGAGTTGATCATACTCAAAGTGATGAATGACAGGATGTGAATTATGAAGGATGTGCAGCAAATCACTTGGTATAAAATGAAGATAACAGTAATTTTCTTGTCTGGGACAAGAGAGGTGGCTAGAAGGTCCATGTGTGTTTATCATACATGTGCTTCACTAGACAAATTGTTGATGTATGGCTGTGGGACCTTTGTGTTGACTCCATTTAAACTTGACCTTATGCACATATTCACTAAAAAACAGTTCATCTTAATAAACAAGATAAACTAGACACTATTATTCCAATGCCACAGTAAACCTCTTTTGTTCTCTACCATAATCATACAAACCTCTGAAATTCTCTAGCTTGATCATAACAAATTAAGCTAGAGAATTTCAGAGGTTTGTACAGTTATGGTTGAGAACATCAGAGGTTTGCTGTTGCAGAGAGAGAGTCAGATGTCATTTGGCAGGCATTTGTGCTGGTACAGTATTGGCCAGACTGACTCATCCACAGGTCAGCCATGGGGGTATGGGAATGATACTAGAATATGACCTGTCTGCAGTGAGCACATATCTGATGGCAAATGAGTTTAATGCTATTTTTTATTTATTTATTTGGAGGCAGTGAAACATCTCCTATGTTGCTTTTATATTTTATTGTAAAGCATTTTGTGATATCTAATATGCTAGTGCATAAATGTATGCTTTACCTAAAAGGAACAAAGAGTGCTTCAGTAACTGTGTAACTGCTGGACAGGCCGTGAAAAATTAAGACCAATGATATATACCAATGAGTAAATCCAAAGCCTAACAGGAGGTACACCAAACTATTATAAGAGGTTTGAGGTCAGTATATATGACGCTATGCTATCATCTGTTTGGGTGAATGGGTGCTTGACAGTTGCTGAGGCACTGACTTCAAAGCTGTGGAAACACGAATGTCTTTGCCAGTACAACGCATCTTATAGCTTTCAGGGTGTGGTTGGGCAGGGGAAGTTGCTTCATGTTTCATCTGACTTTATTTCTGGTCTTTGAGAACCTAGGTGATGTCAGGCAATCATGTTCCACTACATGTGTTCATGATGTATGACAAAGCTATGCCCTTTCTTTGGTGTCTGCCTTGTATCAGACACCCACCAAATAAGAATCACTGGGAAAACAAATGCTGCCTGAAAGTAAGACACTTCTAACTCATCTTACTTTTCATTACATCAAAACTTATCTGCTATCAATACAGATCAAATGTAATCCTTTATCTGAACTTTAAATTCAGTGCTGATGCACCCTGCTTAAAGTGTAAATGTACACCATAAACACACAGCAACATAATCAAAATGTACAAAAAAGCTTCAGGCATGACCTAGTCAAGATGACCTCTGTGATGTACTGCAACACCGTGGGTAGTAAAATGGAGACTGGACTGCCAGTGTGGCATGTCACTTCACCAACCTTAAACTTGTCTTTTTTATATCTTTGGATGACGAATGCATTTTAAATCTATGACACACTCTGAAAATGGCTGATGCTCTCCAAACAGTCTTTTTAGTTGCTAAGTAATTGTTTTTTAAGGTTTTCATTACACTGCTGCAAACAACAGTAAGATGGCCAAATGTCTTTGTTGACATATTTGAAGAAAGAACTATTAGTGATGCATCTGTTTGTGACAGTTTCCCTTTCAATTTATTTCTGTTCATTCCAGTGATTAGATTCATGCCATACGTTACGGTTTGCTGCTAGTTCAGCTCATGTGAATAACAGAAATTTGTTACAATAAGAGCTGTAATTTTAACTTATCATTAAAGTGGAAAATAACATTATTCAATCAAAATAAATGTGCTATAACTGCTAGTGTTGGATTTAAAACTGAAATTCATGGACACTGGTCCATATCTAGTCCAACATTCATCTACATTCATAGTTTTTTTTTTAATGTGTGCGTACAGTATGTACATACATCTTTATTGCCAGCATCTCCAAGTCAAAATAGCTTCACCTTTTATCCTAATGCCGCCAGTATACTGCTGTTTGTTTGTATGTGTCTGGGTGTGTGACAGTGTTGCCATCTACAGTATGTTTCCAAATTCCAGGAGGGCTTTTCTCTTTGCAGGAGGCAAGGCAGTAAACAAACATATTGGTCGTCATTAATACAGAGAAAGACAAGATTTGTTTATACTGCTTATTTTGCATTGTTTACACTGCTTGTTGCTTGTTAATACTGCTTATTTTGTTATACTACACATCCTTATGCTGGTTTATTGTTTACTTGCCCCTTGCATGGGGATATATACATACATGTTGAGAACCGATGTACCAGTGTCAAATTCCTCCTGTGTCCAACATACCTGGCCAATAAAGCAGATTCTGATTCTGATTCTTTTGATTTTTGTTGCCAAAAGCCCAAATGCTCCAAAGCACAATTAACCATCTCTTTCCTTTACAACTGTCTTCAGCAGACTACATCAGATTTGTCTCTCTGACAGTGCTTTAGGGTAGGAAGCCCTTGTTTGGTTTTTGTGTGTTGGTGTCACTGTGCTGCTGGTCTGACTTAAAGGAGAGGGTCTACTGTACTCCGTTACAATGTCTGTGTGTGTGCGCTGCTGGTCCAACAGGCCCGTGTCTACAGTGTTGCAATGTCAGTGTGGATCAGACGTGGGAATTACAACCAGGAATACCACCACAAACAGAGTCGATATGTGGTTAAAGAGTACAGCAGGTACACAATACACTCCAAGTCAACAGTAATTATAACCAAAATGTCTGCAGGACCTTAATTGTTCTAATATTATTACTAATAGTAGCTGTGTTATTAAGCCTTGCTATTGGTAAGTGTGCAAATTCAAACATAACTAAACATGAAAAAAAATTGCTTTAATATTCAGACTAGGCTCAAACAGTAAGGCTAACCTGGGTAACATTAAACTAACAATAAGGCCTAACTAACCCAAGCTAAGTGTGAAAATGTTCCCATGGATGTTCAATTCATTTCAATTTAGTGCAATTCAGTTTTATTTGTATAGCAGAAAATCACAACAAAAAATCATCTCAAGCACTTTACATAGTGAGGTTACAGTATTACAGAGGAAAACCCTGATCAAATGATTTTAAATTGATCATTGGCAATATTAATCCAACCTCTGTCCATGGTACCTCAGTGCTTTAAGATTTTGACAGCCTTCAGAAGCACCCCACTGTGCTTTGTTAAACCGCTGAAGCCTATTGCAATGCACAGAACTGCCAGTGAGTGAACTACACAGTTTTTAATGAAGCACATTGAATTTTAATATTTTCCTCATGTATAAGAGAGGCAGCTCAAACTTTCAAGCAGGAACAGTCAGATGTGACACTGATGCCTTTCACACATATGCAATACCGTGCAAAACAACAGGAAAGTTTTGTTGCAGAGAGATTTCAGGGGTGCTGTTACTTGATAAATTGATCTGGCTTTACTAATTTCAACATGGGCCTCTCTGGGACATTGTATTATATAGTCATTATTATGTTTTATTTGAAGTGGGATCAATCCGACATCCCAAATTTTAACTGGCTAACAACGTACCTAACAAACTGGCGCTGCAACTGGTGAAAACCATTTGCTAACAAATTTAATGTTACATTAGCACTGCTGTGATCAGTAATTATGTAATGTATTTATGTATGTGTGTGATTTAAGAGGAGTACCAACAGGTATTCTGGCTACTGTGTATCATGCCACGTAACACTTGGGGAAAAGAAACCTATTCTTGCTGCTGCTGCTCATAGTTTCTTGCTTCAGGCCTGCCCCTTGTTAAATAAGGACTATTTAAGTGTCCAATGACAAATCCTTTTAATAATGTAGACATAGTGATCCTGCTCATGTAGAGCTTATGTCCTAACTGAGCTCCTTATCTTTTATTTTAAACTCAAGTATGAAACTTGTGTGTGCAATGTGCCCTGAACATTGAGTGA